GGTTCTCTACACTCACCATACGAAACACAGCAGCGTTAAGCTGCTATTTTACGCTGGTTTTCTGTGAGAGCGTGGTCCTTACCCGGTCGAGCCGACCCATTCGTGCTACAACCATAATATAGCTGCAGCATGGCTCTACCACGTAGAATATAGGAGAGAATATATGATTAGTATGTCAATTATTCTTTAACCGGGTATTAACTGAATTTATAAATGTGTCAACATCGTGTCTCAAATACGATAGTTTTCTCTTTATAAGTCTTCTGGCCTTAAAATCATAAAACAAACATTTTAACAAATTTTAACAAGGACGTGGTAATGCAGTGAGGTAATGTTTGAACGATTACATTTGAATTTAAATTTTACGCCTACGTATCAATTATATCTGGGTTACGCATTTGGTGAATGCTTGAGAGTTATAAATTTTGTAATATTCACTTGTTTAGATCTACAATATATATATTAAAGTATGATTTTAGTTTCACAAACTGTTATTAAGCTGAAATGTGAAACAGTTAGATATTTTCTATAATATAGATATTGCAGAATACAAAATTATGTCTAGATAAAGTTGCCGGGCAAATTAAAGTTCCGCAGTTGGGTAATTTATTGTTGCAATAAGTGTCTGAGAAGAAAATATTTATTGCTATATACAAAAAATTATGACATAAACAACATAGGATTGAAATCTAAGATTAAAGACCTTTATGTCATGTTAGTAGCAAAATTTGCAAATATTTTTAAAATAATTGAGAAGTTTTGTTTTTAATAAATAATGGCTTGCGCATAAAGCAATGTCTCGCTAAGAAAAGTTCAATTATAAATAACTTCAAAATTTAAACAAATGTATCTATGGATAATTCAATATCATTTTAAGGATTGTAATTTTTCAATTAAATAGGATACTATTTTCTCCTTAAAAAAAAACACAATGCTAAATGATAAATTATAGAGATATAAATAAAAAATAGAGTGTTTTTTTTTATAGAATAAGGGTGACGAATTAGCACTCCACATGATGTTAAGTGGACGTTGTGGCACAAAGACATCCTCAAATAACAATTAAAATCCAGATGCGTTGTCACCCCTGAGAACTAAGTTGGAATGTTGGGAATTTGCGAGAACGTGGTAATTCCTCGGTTGAGCTGACCTACTTATACTGCAACAATAATATAGCTGCCATGCTGGCATAGCAAAATATATGATTTTTATGACTTTGCCCGCATTCATAACCTATACCATTACATTGAAAAATTGGTATGAAACAAAGAAATTTAAGTAGTTAGTATACCTATATATTTAAATATCTTTGGTATGAAATGATTATAAAACTAATAATAAGAGAAACTTCAATGCAAAATTTAATTACATGATATACCAAAATTGGAGTGACAAAAATTATTTTCTCCATATATGGTTCATCAAATTAACATTCAATGCAAACAGATCTGATAGGAATAATTTTAATTAAATCTCTAACGTTATCTAAAACGTCAGACCATTTTAGAAACACAGTTTGACAAGTACAATGTCAAGTTTGACGTACATAATGGTGTACTATTCTAATACAAATTACGTACTGTTTTGTCACAGTGGTCCGTAATAGGCAGCATCTTGGAATGGCCCTGTGAGTCATTGTATACGCAAATGCATGCCTTCGAAGGTTTTATTTGCTTACATTAAAATTTACGTTTATGGTGTACACAACGAGTACTGAATGTTTAAAAACTGACATGTTAATCACATTTTAAATCTCAAAAAAAAGTTATAGTTTTAATGTAATACTGGGACCGTAGTAGGTCAGGGGATAGTGTTCACCGTATAGTTCTTTTTTTATAGGGTAATAGTGACAAACGAGCACAAAGTCCACCTGATGGTAAGTAGTTGCTGTGGCCCATAGACATCTACATCCATCCTCAACTACGAATCAAAATGCAGATGCGTTATCCCCCGTGAGGACTAAGATAACATGCCTCGTTTCCAGTATAATGGGTATCCGGTTCTCTACACTCACCATAAGAAACACAGCAGCATTAAGTTGCTCTTTTACGCTGGTATACTGTGAGAGCGTGGTCCTTCCCAGCCCGAGGAGACCCATTCGCGCTACAACTATACTACTGACATAGTTGCAGCATGGCTCTACCACGTGTAAATATAGCTGGAGTATGGGTCTACCACGTGTATATAGCTACAGCATATCTGTACTATGTGTTCATAGTATGTGACAAACCCGAGTTCGATTTACACCTGCATCAATAAAATTCCTAATTAAGTTTGAGCTAAGTGATATGTTCATAACTCATGGTGATAATTCATTTTTGGACATTTGATTTTCTAATACTTGTGGTGGTACGTTAAGTTCTCTTCAATGCAGCATATCACCATGAGTAGTTTACAGAGTATATTTATTTATACTAGAAATCGCACAGTAGTCGAAATACGACAATAATTCATGAAATGTTTAAATTTGTATATTTAGTAAGTTGTATTTCATTTTTAACTGCACTTTAATGTGTATATTGTGTTATATTTATAAAAAAAAAATATAGGCTTTTTTGCATTGATATACACTCCACACACTATTTAATGAGGAACATTTGAAATCATCCAAAATTCACAGCTCATTCCTTCATCATCATCATCATTATCATTACAGCACTTCGCAAGTCCACTGCTGAACCTAGGCCTCGCCCAAGGAATGTCACAAAGCACGGTCCCATGCCACCTGCATCCATTGACTTCTTGAATGTCTTACCAGGTCGTCACTCCATCTAGTGTAGGACACCCTACACTTTGCATGCCGATACGAGGCTGCCACTCGAGAACCCTTCTTCCCATTGGTTGTCGGTTCTTCGAGCCGGCTCATTGCCACTTCAGCTTACTAATCATTTGGGCTATTCCGTCAATCTGTCAGTAATTATTTGTTGACAACATTTTGGAATTCTTTTGCGACAGTCTCGTCTCCGTGCGACTGTCAGACCACAGACTATTATTATGTGTTTGACATTGAACGTAAATAATGAATGTTTCATTTTATTTATTTAATGTTCATGTTCAACACACAATACTATAATCTTAGCTTTCTGCACTCCTTCATAAAAGCTTTAACTATGCCAAATCTCAAGAAAGGGTACAAAGTTTTCTCTTCACATATTAATAATGTATAGATAATCATTCCATTCATTATAAGTAAAGTACTTGATAAAAAATTAACTAGACCTCAAAATGTCACCTGTCAAAATGGCGTCGATAAAGCAGCGGTCTTTTGACCTTTGATTATTTGATTGACTGATGAAGAGCTATCGTATCACAGAACCATATTTGCAAACAAGCCTGTAGTTTTTGAGTTATAAGAAAGTGACCATATTAACCGGATGACCATATTACTCTCACGTACCCATAGTATTATAGATTGGTCTATAATTGGATACTGTTAAGGTTGTGAACTGTTTAGTTTTACGATGTAGCTTTTACGGTCCGAACCTGGTCATTTAATTAAATTCCTAAGTTTATGGGCAGAAAGGTTACCTTTTCATTTCCATTGAACCCACCAAATGAGATATAAAAACCTCTTTTGCACGTAATGTAGAGTGAAATTTAAAAGTATTTAGTAAGTTGTAGCACAGCTTTCAACTGTGTCTTTCAACTTATCACTGAACCAGTAATCTATGCACTGAACCTTTATTCAAAAAACTAACAAAATAACTATTATATTAAAAACCGCTTCATGTAAAAGTCAACTTAACTCACTGTATAACCCCGAAGAATCAAAAAGTGCTTTATATTCGTACCTGCAGCTTTATCTCGGTGACCAATTTCATGATTGGAATTATTTTACGTCGTTCTTACATTTCGTTTAGTATTCAAGTAGGACAGAAACAGTACGTTCGATTCGACGGCATTTCACCGTAAGTTCGCAAACGCTTTATTGATCTAGTCGGGGTATTGCGCGTTATGCAGACAAATGGAGCTACTAAATTAATTGACTTTATTTACATTTCAGATAAACATGACATGAACAAATTGCTTTCAAAAAAAGGGCGACACAGTTCACCTGATGGTTAGTAAATGCTGCGGCTCATTGAGACTGCGATGCGTTTACATTTAAACGTGGTAGAGCCACGCTGCAGATATTCCGGCTGTAGCACGAATGCGTCGGCTTAGCCAGGGTTGTACCACGCTCTCACAGAATACCAGCGTAAAATAGCAGTTTAGTGCTGCTGTGTTTCGTTTGATGAGTTTAGAGAACCGGAGACCCTTTTTACTGAAAACGACGCATTCCATTTTAGTCCTCACGGATGAAATCTGCATTTTGATTCTTAATCGAGGATAGATGTAGATATCTATGGGCCACAGCATCCACTTACCATTAGGTGGACTGTGTGCTCGTTTGGCACACTTATTCTAAAAAAAACATTCTTGAAGACTAAGAATGAATTCTGCTATTATTAATATTATTTATTATATTATTTAATATAATATACGTAACATTATGTACATTATTTATTCATTAGTAGTATTAATATACGCAGTAAGTTTGCTTTAATAACGTAACAGATATTTCAGCAAATTATGAAATAAGCAGAACCTTTGTACGAACTCACTATATGACTGTTTCTGTATCTTTTAGTATGTACACAAATAAATCAAAAAAAATATTTTATTACCCGTAGAAAAGATATCCAGTTTACTGAATGTAATAAATATAGCAACATTATCCTGCTATTTTTAGCTGGTATTCTATGAGAGAGTGGTCCTTGCGCCGTCGAGCTGCCTAAGAAACGCCACAAAACAAGGTCCTGAGTCATCTGCATCGACTATTTTAGCTTTAGGCTGCCACTCGAGCAACACCAGAACCATTCTTCCTTATCGGTTCTTTGAGAAATATAGCCGGACCATTGCCACTTGAGGTTACTGATCCCACATCCCACATTTTGTATTATGTCGCAGATGCGTTTAACTGTTGCCTATAAATTAATGCATGCTACAAGAAAACTCACTCCGGTGTTACAATAAAGAAGCCCCACGAAGTCTGGTAGATCTTCCGCTCCTGCATCAGCTGCGATAAGGTGTCGTACACCACATTTGCATCTGGCGTTTGCATTGACGGGAACTTGACAGATAGAGATGTTCGGATGCTCTCCAGGGTCGCTGACTGCCCCTAGAAACAAAATCCAAGTATTAATTTAAACAGTAGATGGTAGACGTACATAACGTTAGACTCAATAATGTAACTAGATGAGTTCTGTACAAACACACATATTGGGCCCTTTTTTATTGGGTATTAGATAAAACAAGAAATGTCCGACGATCCTCATTTTGTCATTCCACAACTCGACGTACTGTTGGTGTTCCCCTTTCGTTGTTGACGTGCCTATGACCCGTCCTAGAACTAAAACTCGTGATGTTTGTTCTTGTTAAGTCTAGTCCACTCTAGTAATAGTTAAAAAGGAAAATTAAAAAAAAATATGTACTTTGTTACATATTTGTACTTAAATTTTGATTATCGCGTACTTAAGTTTTAATTGTCTCAATAAGTGTCTCTTTCTATTGTCATTTAGTTAAGAAAGAGAGAGAGAGAGAGAGAGAGAGAAAGAGAGACAGACCGAGCAAATTTAAGCATTTAACTTTGACGTAGATTTTTATAAGTAAGGTAGTTTATCTATAAGAATATGTATATAATAAAACCAAATTTTCTTTATATATGTATATACATGAGTCTATTTTGTATTTTTAAATAAATATCTATCAATTATTTATCTTTTGACATCCATCATGTTAAATCTTATCGAGGTAACGTACGCGGATCTCCTTGAGAGATCAGGATGTTTTTAGAGTAACTAATCTTCGAGTATGTCATGACGAATGTTTATACCAAATATTAGAATCACAGTATTTTTAAACACGTTTTCGCGGTTGTCATGCCTGAACTTTTTTTATATATATCATAATATGATTTTTTATATATTACGAGGTTATTATTGGGTTTACTTCATAAGAATCGTTTCATATACGAGTATAGTGCACGGTATAAAAAATAGATGGGTAGTAAAATTAAACGTAAACAAAAAGTGAAGCCGTTATGGTTTTCCTCTGCGCTACATACTCGCGCATTTCATAGCGTGAAATGAATAAGGTTATATAAGTCATATATGTTTATGTAATATAATTTATGTAATATATTTCACTAAATCAATATAAATAAATATATGGGTTTATTTACTTCCTTAGCCTATTGTATATATTTTAAGAAAATTCTTTTTTCAGGGGTAAACTCCAGTCACACGTCGGATCTGACTCGCACAATGTTTTGATCTCTCTACGACTCGTTTAAGCAAAAGTATTTTTTTCAAATATTTAACGTAACGTATATAATATTAATAAAATAAAATCAGTTTTAAATTTAAATAAATCAACTGTCATAAAATTAATTATAAAACAAACAATTCTAACGGCGAAATAAAAATTGGAGTCACTTTTAAGAATGTCAAGTAACAACTGCCTACATTAATTAACAGCTGTCCACGGAAGATATACAAATAATGTATAATATTAATGCTGATACCTTTATTAATTAAATATATCATTTTATCGTTAAAATTATTACAATTGTTGAATAATAATTTAGACAAAATGAGTAAGCTTAACATGATCTGGATTTATTTTTAGCAGACACTTATGTACTCTTCGTAATCTCTTACGGAAGAATCTATGTGTATAGTATGTATAGTCTATATCCATCTATTAATTAGATTGCCTGATAAGGAGGATATTTGCAACATTTGCCGCAGTTTCTTCATTTGTAGCTTGCTACATATATATTTATCTATGTTCATTTGTATTTATATAGTTGTTATTAGTAAAACGCTAGTGCCGATCTCCTGCTTTGTTTTTGCCTCTAACGAAGACACAAATTTTGTATCAAATTTAATTCCAAATTTCTCTATAAAATGTAAAAAGGAAACTCTTATCTTTATGTTTTTGTTTGTGTGTTAAAATCAATGCCATCATTTTGTATATCTTGTAAAACCGTACATTCAGTTGACACTTAATTTGAATATTAATAATTAATCTACTGTTGTGTAAATAAACTGGTCAATCTACCTGTCTAAAAATTCTACCAGAACTGGGAGGTTAACAGCGTCATTAATAAATTACTTTGTCTTATGTGAAGTTGCTACTTTTGATAATGTCTGAACACTATTACTTTTCCGTTTGAAACAAAATATATTATTTTATCGTAAATTATACAAATAAAATTTCTGATTGGACTATAGGAAATTATTCTGTAAACAATTTCTGCAAGAAAAGAGATTTGAAAGTTTTGACAGTTGTGGTAAATTTAATATGATTCATAATTTACCCCAATTAACTTGAAAGCTACCGAAATGTACACGGACTACGTTTAAGGTTCAGATTTATAATTATTATAACTTATATAAATTAAGACGTTTGCTGAAATTGTAGTTAACAAACTGTTACCGTTTTTATTACCAATAACACGAACACAATATAATAGTTACGGGCTCAGATATAAATTCTATGCTAAGGACGGCATAAATAAGCATAATGCTTTGAGTGTGATCTTGTTACAGTCTCATTGTTTCGCAACCGCGACCTTTATGACAAAGAATGTTACGGATATTAATGGACCCATATTGCATTAGTGCGTAAATTTATTCGGAGCATTTCGCGCTGTAAATAATTGCACCAACCGGAAAGGTTGTATTACGTACCGGCATCTTAAATCTCTATGGCTATCACTTTACAAAATGATAAAAGGGAATGTTATGTAAATCTGAACTGTTAGTTGTGACTTTATTTATGTCTTAATAGATGACATTTTACGTTCAGAGTTGAACCGAGTATTCTTGCAATGAATAATAGAAAGCCAGGAAACATTTTGAGTAAGCTTTGATATGCGAAATTTTATAACGCATTGAAAAAACTTGACAGTCAAGATGTAGTTCAGCTGTTAGCAGATTGAGAATCGCGGTAATGAACATTCTGTATCTTTGACGTTTCTTTCCGCAAAAATTTAATATCCTATTAATCTTGCTTCCTACTAATATTATAAATGTGAGTTTGTGAGGAGGAATGGATGTTTGTTACACTTTCATGCGAAAACTACTAAATGGATTTTAATGAAACTTTACAATAATATAGATCATAAATCAGATTAAAATATAAGCATAAAAATACTGTGTAAATTGGCCAAAATATAACGACAAATGTGAATCTATCATCTGCGAGCTATTTTGGCATGAACACGCATCACGCAAAAACCTGTGAACCGATTTCATGGGGCTTTCACTGGCAGATACGTCATATTATGAGGAGTAACTTAGGCTAATTTTATTGTAGGGTTCCACGCAAGCAAAAACCCCACGGGCGAAGTCACGGGGAATTGCTAGTCTGGTATAAAAGCAAGATCGTTATGCTGCCTTCGGTCACCTCTCGCGATACGCACGGGACTCGATGAGTTGCTGTTCTGATAGCTTTTCTTATATCTGAATATAACGCATGCAGTCTTTATAGTGTTTTGTAATATATAATTAAAGCTTTTAAAAAATTTTACTTCGCAAACATTCGCTCTATAAAATAAAATGATGTATCTTACCTAGTATGAAGAGGCATAGAGTCTTGCCTGGTCGGCCGTGTTAGCCTTTTTAATACGAGTATAATTAATAGAATCAGGCGTTACTTTGTATATATATATATAATTAAATCTATCGCCTCATTCGTCTTGTGGCGACTATGTAAAATGGTTTGACTTTCAATAAATTGCGGTATTCTATCTTTTATGCCAGACATATGTACCCAGACCTGTGAAGGGAAGCCGCTTCAAAGTTGCGAGACATGTACTGGTTCTTCGGTCTACCTGCCAAGCATGGCGATTAGTCTAAATCTTTCCTACAACGGGAGATACCCTTATCCAACAGTGGACTTCTAAGGGTGATGATTATGAAAAAGAAGACACAGTATTTTTTCCACATTCTAAGAATTAGGGTGACTGATGGTAACAGGATGTTGTATAGCCCATAGACATTTATCCTCGATTAAGAATCAAAATCCAGATGCGTTGTCACCGTTGCGGACTAAGATGCCTCGTTTACAGTAAAAAGGTCTCCAGTTCTCTACACTCACACAGCAGCATTAAGCTGCTCTTTCACGCTGGTATTTCGTGGGAGCGTGTATCTACCAAATAAAAAGTGGAGATGAAGTTCTAGATAGTAAATCACTATATTATATTCACTCTTGCCCTGTAAACACTTAGATTGAAATAGAGTTGAAGAAATATATTGATTTACTTGTAATTGTTTTCTCTAAAATATTCTGTAGAATATCAAGCGGCTATTTTGCACATGTGCTCGAGGCTTTCAACATTAGATTTGACCAAACATACTGTCACAATGAGCAATGACGACGAAAATAGGTAGGTAGGTGGTATGGTCACAATGAGCATGAATATGTAGCAGCGGAAATAGATATGTAGGAGGTAAAAACCCCTACGACCTAGAAGGAAAATAAACAATCCGACTTCCACCCAAAAATATCATTAATGCGAAAGTGTTTATTGATGAAATTAATGTAATAAATGCGCAATCCTGTCTGTAAATTACCATACCATGGAAAAAATACATGGTATCCTTATTTCATGCAGCAATGGAATAACGGATCAAGATGATTTTTACATAAGTATAGTTTATGTACCGAAGTGACATTTTTTTATAGAATAAGGGTGACAAACAATCAAATTTTGGTAAGGGTCATAGGCTAATTATTATCCTAGGAAATGCACAGTTTCTCTAAAATTGATCTGGAGCATTATTTTGATAGAATTTTGATGTGATTAAATATGTTTTAGGTCGTGGAATAATAAACGGGACACTTTTTATTTCGGAAAAATGAAAGGTGATTTTTTAAATGGATTTCGTTTTCCTCCCATGCAGGCGAATCCTCAGGCATAAGCTAGTGTCTATTTTTATAAAAATTATATGTTTATTTGTTCTTGGTCTTAAATCACCGAAAATGTGTTAATATATATTGTTAAATATATGTCACCGTGTTAAATATATGTTATAAGTTCAAATAGTTGCTTTAAAATTTTCACATAACATTGTATTTGAATACACACGTGTTTTATATACTTTTTGAGAC